TAAAGTCGAAGTATTTATTGGAGTGTATCGGTTTCCTGTAAATGCTACTACCTAGCCCACCATCTTGTTTTCGTTTTATACTACGGTCTAGCATGGCCAACTCACCCTGTTCGTTTTCTAAGTGGCAACAAACAATAAGGGGAAGTTGGAGAGAAAGAGTGAAAATATGTATAATACAAATGTGAAACTATGTGACTAAACTGACATCATTATGAGCAATAATTTTTGCTTGAAACCTTGTCATCCAGTTGTCAATACTGCATCACTGTGTAATATTTCAAATAAACTTATCTAATATGGAATTATATTCTACCACAGTGTCCAAGTTCTACACTTAGATTAATGTGACACTGTCGTTGTATTAATCAAAATTTAAAAAATGAAATTCGTTTTAATATGGAGTAGTTTATTTCAGCCTAAAGACTTTGGAAGTGATAATTCAAAGGTCTGTAATTTGTTCTCCCATTAATCCAGCTTTTTTTATAAATTACTCTACCACATATGTCAATAAAAATGCCTCAGTTTAGTTGGTAATCATCTCTGGTAATCTGATTACATCTCCATTTTGCGTTTAAAACTCATGGGATGCCTGAATAAGTATCCATTTCTACCAGCCAAAATATGCGTGCTTCATCTGGTGAATGAAGTAGATGCTAGAAATATGGAATCTCGGAATATGAAATGTAACTGTTACACAGAGCTATCAGAAAAATAGACTGGTTTATCAGCTAAGACAGAATGAAGTTACTGAAGTAATCAGCAGTAATTGTTACTTCCTAAGTGAACTGAGGTATAAAATGGACCCAAACAAAAAACTTGGAGGATCTGGACTTCACCGATGATATATGTCTGATTTCCCACAAACTGGCAGATATGCAAGTGAAAAGCAACAAGTTGGCAGAAGAAGCATCGAAGATAGGTCTTCAGGTGAACATAGAAAAAACAGAGATGATTAAGATTCATGGCCAACAGCAAATCAAGGCAAGCTTTCATCACTCTCAAGTCTGTGTGGAGATCAGCAGTACTCAGTATGAAAAACAAGATCCAGATTTCCAACTCCAATATGAAGTCAGTGCTACTATATGGATCAGAAGCTTGGTGCGTCACGAAAGGCACTTCGAACAAATTAGAGACCTTTATAAACAACTGTCTTCGCTCAAGATCAGATGGCCAGAAAATATCAGAAACAGGGATCTCTAGGAGCAAACCAACCAACCAGAAACCGATTGTGCAACAAATATGGAGGAAGAAATGAAGGTGTATTGGCCATACTCTGAGAAAATCATCAAGTGACATCACAAGACAGGCTCTCGAGTGGAACCTTAACGGGAAGCGGCGAGTTGTTCGTCGGTGCGAGAGTGACATGGAGGAGGTCATGTGAAGAGAAGATAAAAGCATGTGGGCAGACGTGGAGCCAGATGAAAATGTTGGCAGAGGACCAAACGCAATAGAGACGTGCGGCTGAAGCCCTATGTTCCTCTAGGAACTGAAGCGAACAATAATAATAAGTGATTTCATTGTCACCTTACTACTAATTCATGTAACCCACGTCTCATAACACCAACTGCTTCTATTCAAAAAATAACAGTATATTATTATTCCCTTAGGTTCCACGTGGAACAGACGGCCTAAGCAGTACAGCTGCATTTCACTCTGCTCTCTACACTTTTTTAATAGGCTGAACGAATACAAATAGGCTTTCGCTTACTCCTCCCACGATCTCGTCCTTTCCAACCTCCAGTGGCTGACTCGTCGCTCTCTTTCCATACAGATTCCGCTCGATTAATAAGTGTGTAATTTTACTCAACAGTTTTATCAGTGTATGCTCAATCCATCTCCCTTTCTATCGGCATATATATTAGGCAACAGATTTTGGTTGGTTTGCTGCCTGACAGAGTTTCTTGCTGCTTAGGGTTGCTTATCCTTTGTTCCCTGCCATTTAATCTTCAGGAAAGACCGATTACAGCTGTTGATAAAAGTCTGTAGCCTGTTGGAAATAATTTCGGTTTCAATTTACGATCTTCACTATGGGAATGAAACATTAGTAATTCAGTCATTCTACTCTATCAACCCTAATATACTACTATATGGGTACTCAAATTCAACTCACTTTAGCTTCTCCATATTTAAAAGGAAAAGGAATTAGCTTCAACAACTGGAAACAGATTTCTCTACAATCCCTCAAAAGTCACAGTCGATGAAGTCTATGATTCACAGAGACTCTAGAGGAAGTACTCACTTCTTTCATTTTTGAAATTCTGAGTTTTTACTCATTTTTATCTAAATTGTTCTTCCTGTTTTCCTGAATTCAAATTTATCGACTGTATATTCATTTTTGTATGATATTTCGAGGTTTGCCAACTTAAACTTTTATCTTCTTGAGAAATTTACAAGTCTGTCTGTGGCATGCATCTTGTTGTTACCTTCATGATGTTCCTTATTCAGATGACGTCATAAACTTGAAACAATCATACTTAAAATGTGAAACTATAAAAAAAGTGTCTGTAGAAACCAGTTTCATTAACTTCTTTTGGACAGAAAAGCGGAATTGATCTCATTCAAAAAATAAAAAAAATAAATGAGAATTAATTCAAATGGAAAATTTTTTCTGCTGCTTTTTCAAAACTTTTATAGTTTCAGGAAATCATAAACAGCAATTTTATTTTCTTTTTTTGACGTCTGTTGGTCACTAACTAGTCAATAGGATTTAGCAGAAATCTTATGCAATAAATTTTATTTGTTACAATAGACATAAATTGAAGTGACGTAATTAACTGATTTTTATTTTATGGCTTATTTTTATTTTTCGAGTCTAAACAATTTTAGAATTTATTATTTATTAAATGAGTGAGATGAACAGTTGTCAGGATAAAAAAAGGCTGCCCTGAATATACAGAAAAGAAAGATTTTTTTGAACGGTTTGACAGTTCTATGAATTATTCAGTTGGCAACACACCCTTGCAATAAATATGGTTAAATCAATTTGAGTATTTTATTTTAGGCAGGCTCACGCAATCACTTTAGAAACAGCTTTGTTTTACGTATATTAGATGGTTGGAGGAAATTGGCAGGGAGACTTCAACCTACGTTTCGTGCTAGTCGGTACTCGTCAGTAAGGCATACTGTCATCTTGAAGGTATTCACGTCCCCTCTGGGGTTCGAACCCGTGTCACCCAGTGCTCCAGTCAGAGACGTTACCACTGAGCTATTCGGGCTTGCGATTGACCTCCTGTTGGACTGTGTTGGATATTTTAAATCGGACACTAGTCAGTAACTAAAGTGATGTTTCTAGTCCCCTGTTTGCTGCAGAATGAATTCTTCCAGTCAACCTAAGTCCAACGCTTCTAGCTGATTTCCTTTAGCCATCGAATACCAACATTTCAGAGTGCACTGTGATTTCCAGCCACCTAGCAGTCTGCACTAAACATAAGACTAGGCACATTACACCAGTTACTGGCTAGTGTCCAATCAAAAGCAACAATAGACTCATGGAAAACCCTACAGTAATCATAACGACTGAAAATTCACAAGCTGGAATATGCGAAATTTTACGACTTTCATTTAAGAAAACCTCACCTTGTAATTTGATTTTCAATAACTGTCACAATGTTCAACTCATTTCGGATAACACAGCTAAAAGGCTTATTAAAATCCGTTATGGTGTAAGATTTATTAGTCAAAAACACTGCATAACAGTAAAACATTATGAAGGTCTAATTAGCCCCATTTGTCTACCTTTAATAAGATATATTACACGAAACCGCTTACAAAAGTCTTCACTGACCAAATAGCATCATAAATATGTTGTACAAAATCTCACCAAAATTATACAAAATATCACGATTAAGTCTGAAGCAAAGTAATCTCAACATCTCTGAAAGATATGTATATATTTTATTCGTTTCCAAAATTCTGAGGGAAAATTAGGGCCTTAGGGACAGATCTCCATCGCACCTCCTTGTCTACCATCACTTCAGTTAGCTTGGCGACCCTTCTAAAGCTTTTGCTTTCACTTAACATGAGCTCCGCACTGACATTCCGAGATACACGCCGAACTCATCCATTTCCATTCGCGTTCCACTCGAAGGCCTAACTAATGTGTGATTTCACTCAGAGGTTTGGACAGCGTACATCCAGTCTATTTCCATTTCTTTTCACTTGTTTGTTCGGCAACAAATTCATTGTTGGTTTTTTTGCTTGACAGAGTTTCTTGTTGCTTACAATTTTAAGCCAGCCATCTGATCTTTAGTAATGAAGCATAGATGGCAGATAATAGTTGATGAAGGTCTGAAGTAGTCTGTTGAATAAACTTTTCATAACGCGCATGTCCTGGCTGCCTTTGACATCCTGATTCCTGCCGATTACTGTTGAAACTATGCTTCCCAGGTATGTGAAGGAGGTGACTTCTTTAAGACTCGTTCCACTTTTGTTGTTCGGACAACATCTTCCTTGTTCTGTCTTCCGTATTTTTCCCTTGAAGTCATGGTCTTCAATCTCCCTTCTGAAAACTTTTTCGTTTTGTATACTTGTAAGCTTGTGTGACATGCGAAATCCAGATCCCTCACACTCTTTTGTGGGTCTGTCATTTATCAGTCTTATCATTCACTGCGATCTGCTGCTTGATAAGACCTATCAGATCCAAGAAGAAATTGTTGGACAGGATAAACCTCTTTCAAAACGAAAATATCTTTCATTGTCTCTTTCTGTCACTTTTGTGAACTCATTTTCGGGTTAAAAGAAGCAGATAGACTATTTTATTTTGTTTAAAACCAAAGTGTTAATACTATTTGTTATTTCAGAAGGGATTGGGTCGTTACTATATGTGCGAAAATCTTCAGTCGTGTGCATTTCCATTTCCGGTATAATATTTAAGTAAATATTTGACATTTAATTCAAATTTGTCTAGTTAAATATATGCCAGTCTCGTTTCATTTCATTTGTAACTTGATCGTTTACTCTTTTTTTATGTACTAATATACACCTCTTACAATAACTTTCAGCATGAATCTTGTGCTTCTGAAATCCTTCAAGAAGATCAAGCAGTATCAAAGGCATCAAACTTCCCTCGACGTGATTCTGGGACTAGTGGTACTGGCATGAGAACGACTGAAAGTGTTTCACGAAAAGCGTCAAGTGATATGCTCGGCGTAAGATGTCATCTAAGTGAATGGTCACCATGGAGTCCATGTACTCAAGTTGATTTAGACACTTGTTCAACTGATGAAGCAAAAGCATTCTGGCAAAATACACCGCCTAGAATGTGGAGAACAAGGCACAGCATAAGTGAATCGAATAATGAAGATTGCTTGTCTGCAAAACTAAAGGTGAGTAATTGTAGAACAGGAGAAATTCCTGGATTAGTCCATGAAACATCAGAAAGAATGACATCACAGTAACAGCGTCACTATTATTCGCAGTATATATATACATATATATACATCAAGCACTATAGATTCTAAATGTAAATAAACTCAACCATCCAAGTGCACACAAGTAAAGCCATATACATTTACGTTGTGTCTCAATTTCAAGTGTTCAAGTGTTGAATAGCGATCATTATCAGCGTATTGATTCCAAACCAGTCACATCACAGTTGTTTACTGCATGCACTATCGTCATTAATTTTATCTCATTTATTGTTTATCTGGACTTGAATGAATGTTTGTAATCCATAAATCGAAGCATTCCATTACTACTACTACTACTACTACTACTACTACTACTACACTTTACATAGAACTAACATGGTAATTAGCCACAAAAAATGACGCTGATTAGATCTAGAATTTCCATGTGATCAATTTAATTACAGATATATGGTATCACACCAGCAAGAAATTAACACTCAGTTAGTATAGTTCTAGTTGATAAAAACAGTGAAAAACCAGTTGTTACTTTGATTGAACACTAAGCAGCAACTTGACTGATGGAATTCAGTCTGTAGCAAAACAAAGGACTACACACTTCACATTAGTCAGCATCTGGTGTCCAATCAACGTATCTAATACAGTCCAAGCCCGAATAGCTTAGTGGTAACATCTCTGGCTTCACCGATGGATGGCACGGGTTTGAATCTCAGAACGGGACACTCGTTCCTTCAAGGCTGCAGATGTGCCTTGCTGATGACTGTGTGGTAACCTAATAATTTATTGGGAACAATTTGATGTAATCAAACTGACTTACGTGTTCACCTTTTTAGGGTGTTAATTCATATTTGAAATAAGTTAAACCCAACTACCTTGAGGTTAAGAGGTAAAACAGGTATCAAATGGACTGATACAGTAGCACAAGATGAATAAGTGTTTGTCATAGAATTAAGATACAGAGAGATGATATGCTACTGATGATAATAATAAGGAAAAGATGAATGACTGACATATATAGCAAAGCTGATAACACCAAGAAGAGGGAATTTAAAACACCAGGAGTGCTGCCATACAAAGAGGGAACCTCTGACAAAGATAAAAGTGACACAGAAACTCCAAATCTCAGAAAAAATTATGTCACAGAGTTTCATCATGAGCTGACATTGGACCCTACTGGTCACGACTTCTCACAAGAACCCCAGGCAACTGCCTACCTGAATAGGGCAAGTCGCTAGTGAGCATCTCATCGATATTCAAGTGTTGGTTTGTAGGGATTTGATTGGTTACAGGATTTCATCATGAGCTGACATTGGTTAGGTAGGTAGTTACCTGGGGTTCTAGTGAGAAGTCATGACCAGTAGGGTACAGCCGGTCAGGTGTGAGGACAAATACTCGCCGAAGACATTGGTTAGTAGTCACGCTATGTCGCGAATTGGCAGAATTTGGAATTCATGGGCTGATCATTGCGTAGGGTCCCAGTGGCTCAGTGGTCCACGATCTCGCCTTGTAACCGGAAGGTCCTGGGTTCGAAATCCACTATGTGGGTGTGTACCGCTGAAGAATCCCAAACTAGGGCGGAGGAACCAGCTCTCTGGTACTCCCAGCTGGTTTTCCGATTGTTCTCTAACCAATGTCAGCTCATGATGAAATACTGTAACCAACCAATTCCTTACAAACCAACACTTTAATATGGAAATTATGTCAGTTAAGAGATTCTGTGGAGATCAATAAAGAATGTTATTTCGTTTATCTAACACCCTGCAATTAGGTCAAAAGCAAAGGCTAAAGTATTGTGTTTGGGATAGAGCAAACAAAGGGTATTGAAATCTGATGTAACAAGCTAGTGACAGTGATTCATAACTAAAATTTTACCCATCGGATCAGCTGAGAAAACGTGCGAGAGGAATAATGACTTGACGCCTATACCAGACATCGAGAAAACCCTACTACAAATGGATAGAAAGGATGAAGACTTTAGAAATCGAGTTTCGAAGTTGTGTAATTACAAATGATGTGACTATAGGCAATGAATAGTGTTTGAAACTTTTTTGTTCAGTAAATAATCCTGTTTCACTGGGTGATATTTCCGATAAGCAAGTTAAAATGAAACTACACACTACCACAGTGCCTAATCTTCACATACTAACTTATAACATTTCTATCTTCCTACTGAATAAAGGAAGTTGGAAAGGCTAATATTAAAATAGTTTGATGTTAAAATCAACTTCAGATTCCATGCTAATTAAATTTTCGTGTATATTTTCAATTAACGTATTATTCCACTTATCGGAATCTAAAAATTTAATTGATTTATACTTGGATTTTCTAACGAAATTTCGATGTAAGATTAATAATTATCCAAATTCCTTTAGAAGACGAATAATTACCTCATTCTGGTTATCGATTCTGTAGTAAAGATATTACTAACTTCCATTACAGTAATATTAAAACTACTGTGGTATTAGTTAGTCTTCAGTGTCTTATTTCAATGTTGTGTAAAACGACGAGTAAATCAGGAGAAATACTCCTTCACTTTATGATGGGAAATTATCAATAAAACTGTTTATTCAAGCGAGCATATTATAAATCTAGAAATCAGGTTAATATTATTTCATTCGGGATGGATTTGCTTACTGTAAACAGGACAAGATTCTGCAAACATACCTAAACTAAGACTGTTACTACAGGTAGATAATTTGCAATAAACATTGATAGACTTCGCATAAATCATGAACGATGCGTCAGTGGTCCAGTGGTAGGATACTCTTCAGCCACACACATGGTCAAATTTTTAGTTCCCAGCTAACGCATTCCTAAATCATGCCCAGCCGGCAGTAAGCACGGCAAAGGGCGTGAGGCTAGTGACCAGACCTAGTAACACAACAACATTACTGCTCAAAATTCATAGTAAAGGAATGAAAGAAGCATAAACAAGATTCTAGGTTTCTTTACATCAGCTTTGAGGATTTTAACGGTGTTTGTCTAATACATATATTTCATCTAATTTGAGAATATTGAACGTAAGAAAATCACTTACATTGTCGAAAAAAATTGAACCAGAGAACAGAATAGTATGAGTTCACTATATACTGTGAACATTTATCAGTCACTCAGAGGTTTAGCAAGTCTTCGTATGACAGAAACCTTCTCACTTTATATATCCAAAAACTTAAGAGAACTGACTTGAAGAAGAAGCTTCAGTTTATTTTTTCCACACAAGCGGTTGCGGTTCTTCATCTGGAAGATGAAGTACCTAGGCTGGACATCCGTTCTTATATGCATCAGTTTGACTGCTACAGTGGATCTAATTATATTTGCCATTGGCTCTAGGAAAGTAATTTTCGTGCTCAGGAACACCTATCAGTGTGCATAAATGAAGGTGTAGTAAAATCCATCAACAGTTTGATTTCGGGCGATCTTGTTCATATGGGTGGAGTTTCTCGCCTCGTACTCAGTCTTCGCCCCTAACCAAGCCTACTACTACCAACTAGACGAAGCTTAGGAGTACGTTGGTCGACGATCAAACTCCATGACACGTGTGGCATGGTTGACGGGTATTCTGCCACTAAGCCACTTTGTTCATAGAGACGCAAAATGGTCAAAAGTTAAGTGGAAAGAAAATTCCCCACAAATCAAAAGTAAGCATCATGGACCACTAATATTGAAAAAATGGATAACTAGTTAGGTGTAGGCATATGAAGGTGATCAAATGATTTTTGCCAAAGTTTTAGGAGTTGATTGAATTATTCGGCTCAGTATTAGGCTAATTTTCCCCAGTGATGCAATACAGGATAATACTAATTATTACTTTTGCGTAATAACATTACTACATTCTCTATGCCAGATTAACATAATTTTAAAATTCTCTTTATTCACAGGAGGAAAAGGCATGTGACATTCCTACAGCAAAACAAGCCTGTGGACCGATTCCAGTAAGTACACCACAAGCAAGAATGTACTTTATGGATAGTTGTTCATCTTTACCATGGGGTCCGTGGTCTCCATGTAACAACGCCACATGCACGCGTCCAGGTATGATTTATCGATGGAGACGATTCCCTGATCATGCAGCTAAAACTGCCTGCGAAAAACATCCTTTAGCAAGTCAAGTTGATACATGTTGGCCACCGTCTAACATACAATGTTCTGTATCTGAGCTTCAAACTGCCTGTCAAGAAGAGCCGCCAACACCACAAAGATTGTGTGTACGACCACTTAACACAACTAAGAGGTTAGTTTTAGTGTATTTGTAAAAAATTAGGTATTTGTTTTTTCAAAAGAATGGACACGGAACAAAGAGTACTCTTTTCCATAAATTCATCATCAGGTTCTACAATTATATATACATTAAAATGAATGAATGAATTAGTCTTGTGAACGACATTAATGTTTAAATAACATCGAATCAATAATATTGATCGATTACAGCTGAACAGCATCAACATATTCTAATAAATGCTTAGACTTTAATTCATCTCATCCAGAATCCGTAAAGGTAGGTTTAGTTAAGTGTTTATGCAGTCGAACCAGGAGCCTAACTGACAAGTAAGAAAATTTACATAATGAAGTCAAACAGATAAGGATAACATTATTAGTGAATAACCACCCATCAGATATTTTTCAAAAATGTATGAAGACCCATAAGAAAAATAAAAGCACCAACATTAATAGTGAAAGTGATATAAGTGGTGTCACTTAAACCAGCCAAGACATTCACACTCAGATTTTGTCGATTTTTTGGGGACCTGATAGATCCAGTTAAGATAAATAATATAATTCATCAGACACTATGTAATGACTGTGAGGTCAGTTGCATTGGTCAAACTAGTATATTCAGGTCACTTACATTTTAGGAACATAGGAACTCAGCTACAGCTAGGATGATTCAGCCTACTAAGTTAAATAACCTAGTAAGAAGCTCTGCCACAGCATTGCATTCACTTGCATGGAATCACAAAATAAGGTGAGATAGGGTGAAAACATTTAAATGTTATATATTTTGGTGAGGAGGGAAATTAGTCACTGAATCTTTCTTCATGGAATCGATACCAAACATTTGCAAGTGAAATGACACAACACCTATACCTGATATATGGAAGAGTGTAATGAGTAACAAGAGGAAGAGAAATATGTATATTTTTAAGTGTCGGCTTGCAAGTTTTTTATTTGTTTCAGGATTTCAGCATGAATTGACATCGGTTAGAGACCATTGGAAAACCTGCAGGGAGTACTGAACGATTGTTCCGTCCTTGTTTGGGACTGTTCTACAGTAAGCACCCACTGAAAGTGAGAAACCAGGACTTTCTGGTTATAAGGCGAGCTTGTCGACCATTAAGGCACTGGGATACGATTCAATGGTCCATGAATTCAAACTTCTGTCAATTCAAGATCTAGAGCGACCTCTAGCGAATGTCATCACTGGAGAGTATTTCTCTTCACATCTGACCTGCTGGAAGCAGTTGGAATTCAAAGACCATTGGATCGGGTCCCAATGGTTTGATGGTCAACAAGTTCACCTTATAACCAGAAGGTCCTAGGTTTGAACCTCTGTCGATGCGTACTGATGAACAGCCCCAAACTGGGACGAAACAGTTGTTCAGTACTGCCTGCAGGTTTTCCAATGCTCCTCTAACCGATTATAAAACCGAATGAATAAAATGATATTACTACGAACAATGAATTGTGTTCAAAATTTCGTCCAGTTATTAATATTTCATCATTTTGTATGAATCCAATGAACTTATCTTTTATGAAATTATATTCTACCACAGTGCTTAAGTTTTAATTCAGAGTCCTTGCATTAATTATATGAAACAAATGTGAACAATATCCATTTTACCTATGATTAAAGCACTATGACGTATCATAAAATGACTTCTAACTATGAAAACATTTATCGAGGTATTGTTTATATTACATTATGGGATGAACATCAGTCACAGCTATCTAAAAAGCATTTGTATACTGAACATAATATAATATTATGCATTTAATAATGTCAACTTATATGGAAAATCATACGTTATCATAGTAAGACTATAATACATAGTTATTTTAATAAACATCCATTAACTATGGCTAAAACTACAAACTAAATGCAATTATCTACAACACGAAAGTTGAAAAAAGAATAGCCTTTTCGATAACTTTCTATTTTGGCTATAGACTTAGTGAATTAACATTTTGTGGCTGTATTTACATTTCTTTATCGTAGAATAAAGTGTGAAAACCTACTATCTGCCTTGTTTCATCTTATCATCTAGTTTATTCTGTGTGACTGCACGCTAATTTCACTATTTAACCTTAGTTACATTATGCCTGATTCAGCCGACTGCAATGATTATTCTAAAGATATTTTTGGAATGAATTATTGAGTGAATAAAGCTTCAGACTTCAGAGTGAGTAAAATAATACCACGTTACACAGTTTACAAAACATCAGTGTTAAAGGCAGGATAGGAAAAGCAAAACAGACCTTTATTACTATGAAATAAGTGTTGAAATCTGCTGCACTCAGGATAAAAAAAGGTTTGGATTTTTAACACGAATGTCAAATCAGTCGGTGGTTTTATATGGTTCACAGACTTGGTGCGTCATCAAAAACCTTTTCTTACAATGATTCCCTTTTATAAATTTGAACAAAGAAAGAAGACACCTTGGCGCAGAATAATCTGGATCCATTTTATTTCGTCGGTTCTCATCAGCTGCGTACAACCTGAATTCTTTAATAAAATAAAAAAAATGTACAATTTTAACAAACTTTTGTCCATTAGCAAGCATATTGTCACAGCGTCATAGTAAAATAAGGCGTTGCGATTTACAAGGTGTCTAAAGTGTTACGACATATATATATCTTGTTAGAGAGAAGTTTCTTGAAAAAAATTAATTAACAGTTGTGTTGTTGGGGTGGTAACAAAAGAAAATTAGTAATAGTCACGTAATTAGATAAGAGAAGATCTAAATCTCGGTGCACATGAGGTCAGATGTGAAGTAGATGATGTAATACAGTTAGCAGAACTCAGAAGATCAAGAAAAATTATCTCTTAAGAGAGTCAAATGAAAAATAAAGGGGGGGAGTGAAAAGATAAGTTAACAAAATTAGAAAACAAAGAGTTACTAAGAAGTGAGTCACCAAAGTAATTGAAGTCCAACAACGAATTCTTTTTCGACACATAAGTCAGGCTTCAATCATCTTATTGCTATAGCTTCAGCAAAACTGAGAAGACTTGAGATACTTTGTCTGTTAATTATTTTGAATGATTCCAGCACCTCTACTCGGTGTCATGTGTCAATCAGTGTTTGGCGATTGAAGAGCTTGAACAATTCGGTCCGTTTAACCGGAGGCTCGTAGGTACGTGTTCGCAGAATCTGACGTGAGCCCCTCTCTCTGTTCTTCCAATGTAACTGCTCCCGCAGATACATGTGAATTAGTATACACAGTTGGAGGTAACATGTGAGGGGTACTTGTCAATCTTTGACTTCAACAGTGAGGAGGTTGTTTGGGGTAGAGAGACTGATAATGCTGCAGGATACGTCCTAGATAGGGCTGCGCTTAATCTTTTATTTACCATTCTCATAATGTCGTCACCCTTGTAGTCGAGTTTGATGAAAATAGGATTCTTACTAACTGTAGCTGTATCTAGCTTCTTGGGTTCATTCTTGCCATATTTGTTAATGAAACTTTGTGCGTAGCATTTTCAAGAAGCATTAGTTCACTATCTAGTTTGTTTGGTGAACATATTCTCTTCGCTCCAGAGAAAAGCGTTTTCACCAGCGTTCATTCGTATCTCACTGGGCAAAAGATGTTGAAATTCAAGTAAAGACCACTCCATGTGTCTTTACGATATACAGATCTTTCGAGTGCCTCGTCGTATTTTCCCTCCAACTTTACGTCCCAAAAATGGAATTTTTCATCATCTTCATGCTCCATCGTGAAAGTGATACTTTTGTGTACATTGTTGAAATGGTCTAATAGGGACGAAGCGTGACTCAAATAATTGCATACAATGAATGTGTCATCAACGTATCTATAGTAGGCTGCTGTTTTGCCAATCGCACACTTGAGCTTTGTCTGTTTCAGACTGGACATAAAAATATCAGCTAATATCGGACCCATTTCTAACAGGATATCGCAGACGTTAATCGACAGCCAGCTTCGCTGTCTCCATAATCAAAATCAGATGGCTGGATAGAAAGTAATTTATATCAGTTTATATCCATTAAATCAGCCTATTTAATCTTCACTGTATCCATCTTTTAATTCAGTCACTTTTTCATGAATAAGGCAAATTATTCATAGAGGCGCTTTCAACTTTATGATACTTAAAATGCCTGCACGTCCTTAGGAAGTCTATAATTGCTTTACAAGAGGCTTGTCACTGAAAAACAGTGATGTATTAAACATTGCTATGAGAATAACCATTAGAATGACAGTGGCTGGTGGTTTTGCTATACATATCGCTAATTGGCACAAGTTAGAATTCATAGGCCATTGGAATCCATCCCGGTGACTGAATGGCCAACTAGCTCGCCTTGCAGCCTGAAAGTTCTAGCTTCGGTCCCCAGTGGGGTCATAGGTACGTGCTGATGAGAAGCCCTAAACAAGAACAATGCAGCTGTCCAGCACTCCCTGGCTTTCAATGGTTCTCTAACTGATATTAGTCTGTCATCCAACTTGGAACATCAAATCACTACAGTTAAAACTCGAAAGTTCAAATTAAGCGTCAAACTATTGTATTTAAGGACCGCGTTATGAAACTAATAAGCTGCTTTTGATCTTACCCATTGGCATTTCTAGGGTTAGCTAGATTTTTTATTAATACGAAGAATAAGATAGCATAAATTAAAGATTTTTATGTTTCGCCTCACTGGACAACAAACAAAAACAGACTGGCTAAATACCTTTCCCACTTTAGGCCCTAGACGTTGAGGCAAACGAAAGCTGTATCAAATGACAAATACTAGAAATAATATCAAATGACTTTAGATATTTTTCAAGAAAAACAAACCCTCCAAAATACCCTGAAAAGAAGTGACATGATTGATTTAATTCATTAGGCTTTCAATAAACTGCAGGTAGTGGATTGATTATTGAAAGGAAACACGTAGCCTGTGACACGAAAGAATTTGAATCACAAAACCTCCATTGTTTGAAGTCGATATGTCAAAACAAAGCAGCTTCTTTTGTTTGGTTTCAGTGAATTATAAGAAAGCTTTAGAATAATTCCGATTGTTTAATACGAAGAAAAACGACAAATTCGTTTAGTTGGGTTGATCTGGTGTGCTTGAATAGGTTAGCAGTTGTTTACACATCCAAAAGACGATTTGAAGTTATCAACAGAAATCTATTTACAAGGACTGTTATTAAGTGAAGCATAACTAACAATAGCGTTTCGTGATTTTTGGTGGAAATCTGTTTGATAAGTGAACTTCGAGTCGCATAATATTCTGCAAAGTAATTTTCTTAGGTGATATACAATGATGTCAGGTATCCTAGGTTTTCAAGTATTGGTTTGTAGGGATTTGATTGATTGGTTACAGGATTTCACCATGAACTGACATTGGTTAGAGAACCATTAAAAACCAGCTGGGAGTAATGGACAGCTGTTTCGTCCTAGTTTGAGAATCTGCATCAGTACGCACCCACCGGGGTTCGAACCCGGTTACAAGGCGAGCTCGTAGGCCATTAAGCCACTGGGACCCGATCCAATGGCCCATGAATTCTAACTTCTGCCAATTCACGATATGGTGCAACCGCTAGCCAATGTCTTCGGCGAGCATTTGTCTTCACACCCAACCTGCTGCATCCTACTGGTCACGACTTCCCACTAGGTTTGTTCTTATTAAAAGCCAGCGCATGATATATTTCCGTTTTGTCCTTATATCTTTACTCTCTGTATCAACTTTACTAAGACAGGCATGGTAGATGGTTGTCTCAAGAAATCAGTTTACCAAAGCCTACATTGAATGAACGGTACTTACATTGTAATAGTTGTTGTCTATATATCTATGAACAATCATTGGTCAGAACGCTATTTTATAGAGTTAGGAAGATATGCTCAAAAGAAAAATTAGAAAAGGAATTAAACCCAGTTATAAAGATGATACTACTGCTCGAATAGTTAACAGAAGACCGAATACCTCTTTAGTCAGAGCTCATACTGCAGATAAACTGGTTACCATTTGTCGAACAACATGCTCTTTGTTACTATGAAAAGTGAACAGATACCATTCTCATGTTAACTCTAACTGTGTATACAAATTTACATGTATCTGAAGTAGAAGTTACACTGGGAGAACAAAAAGAATGGCACACCCATGATTTTCTGAACATGCACCAAAGAACCTACGTCTCAAGGGAACAAATGCCTGCAATAGTGCCACTGTGAGATATTTCATCAATACGAGTCAAGAGGTGGACATCACGAAATCATTTAGGATTAAGGCTGAATCTCTCCCCTTTTGATATAGTGTAACTGTGCTTGTCTATCGTTCCTGTGATTCGAGTTGAACTCGCCACACTGTTGCCCTGTCTGTCGGTTACTCATCAAATAATTCACCTATTGTCTTTATTACGTAATTCCTTTGCCATTGTATGCAAGCGTTTATTTTTGTTTTAATTTGAAAGTTCTGGGAGAAACTGCATACGTAAAAATTTCTGAGAGCTGTTTATTAAGTTTGAAGCCTTCCGTTAACTGACATTATGTAATATTTGTATGTTGAAACTATTCCGCAAATAAACTTAACTTCTTTAGGCTGTACACAGTTGATGTGAAGCCAGTGAAATTAATAATGGTATCATCTTACTCTGCGTAAACTGCTGTTCCTGCTCAATACAAAAACAAGTTGTTTCAGTAGAAATTCCTAGGCTTACTCTTAACTGAATGGTATCCAGGTTGAAGAGAAAACCCTGCGCGGTTAAGTAAAGGACAAACAAAATCCATTCATAGCGCTATTCTATCCCATCTTGTGGATACAGAACACACAACGAGGCTTTCAGAGTCATTTACCGCATATCAACAAATTTTAGCTTCGCCTTAAGAGTTCGTCAGCTACATATTGCTGAGGCCGTTGGAATCCACATTGAAAAGCCTGACTTATGTGTCTAAAAGAAGCTAGTTCAGTTATTGTCATTACCCTAGCCATCAAGGTTCTAATGATCCTCAATTTTATGTAGAAATTTCTTTGATTTTATTTGATATTCTATTTGCTATTATATTATTATTATTTAAGCATATTTAATGGACTGTAATTGCAGTGATCTCGCTTAACAAATCGATATTATTTAAAAAACACTAATATTGATATTGACAACTACTTTAGAATACTCTATGTACATGAACATATATATATATATAATAACTGTACAGCCAGAAGGGGAAATTATCGAAAAGGATATTCTTTGCGCAATTATTTTGTTTTCTTTCTAGAATACCAATAGTTAAATGAGGTACCAGCAGAGAATGTAGATGGCCTACTCAAATGATGATTTCGTTGAATGTGACTATATAAAATAGCCACTGAGAGCTACGACCATAGCCTCTATATTCTTGAACAATCATTACTCATAAAGTATTCACTTTGTCTTTACATAATTAAATCCGAATGTATACAAAGAATATGTTTCTAGTTCTTAGTGTCGGTGCTAACAGAACTGCTATCGGTTAGTTTTAGAAGAGGGTTCATCAAGCTAGGTGGCTCGCCATCGCAACGCTGTTTGATTTGACCCCAACAGTCTGAAGAAAATTACCGGAAAACACTGCACGTAAGTGTGCGACTGCAGCACTGTGTGATGCAAGCACGAATTTCTGTCGGGATACCGATTCTTCTAAGCCTGAAGATACGCCTTGCTGACGAGTCCAGCGTTTCCTGCATAATGCCTGCAACCGTCTAACACAGAGCTGAAATATCTTTCACATTACGTGGAATCCCTCAATGAATGACCTATCCGAAAGACAAAACCTGTACCAATACACCAACCAAACTAAACAATGATCTAACTATGATGTTGATCACATTCAGAAAAATGTTTAACAAAAATAAACCTTCAAAAGTTCGAAAACATTAAAAATATATATCTAATGTAAAGGCAGAAACTGAGCACTGTTATCAAATTATCAATATGTATGTATATATATACATAGATGCATATATGTTAACTTTGTTTACTTCAGTAATCTAGAATTGTCATGGAAATATGATTTAAATATTGATACATCTAAATGTTTTCATCTTGCTTTCACTAGATTGAATGATAAAATCTTGAAGGAAACTTTGTTATTCTACATAACATCACGAACTTCAACTTGTCCTTAGCTCAGATATTCTTCAAAATCTTCAAGTATTATTATAAGTATGGGCAAAAAAAATGAATAACATACTAAGTTAATAGAAAACTCTAGAATGAACTAATACGACAACAAATACTGCTTTTGATGAACAAATTAGAAAAGCACTTATCTTTAAATTCTGTATCTGTTATCAAATTTCTTATATTTTTAATGATTGCCATATATGTTTACATTTAAAGGAGTTTATTGGTGATGGTGATAATTATTATTATTGTTTCCTTTAATTCCTAGAGGAACATAGGGCTTCAGTCGTGCGTCTCCATTGCATTGGGTTCCCTGCTAGAGTTTTTACCTGGCTCCAAGTCTGCCCACACGCCTTCATCTCCTCTTCACATGACCTCCTCCAAGTCACCTTTGCACTGACGACCAACTCGTCGCTCCCCTTTCGGGTTCCACTCGAGCAATGGCTTGTCTGGTGATGTCACTTGATGGTTTCCTCAGAGTATGGCCAATCCATCTCCATTTACTCCTGCCTATTTGTTTCACAATCGGTTCCTGCTGTGTTGGTTAGCTCCCAGAGATCTTTGTTGCTGATCTTTTCTGGCCTTCTGATCTTGATTAGTATTCAGCGAAGACAACTGTTAATGAAGGTCTGTAGTTTGTTTGAGATGCTCTTTATGGCGCGCAGTGCAAGTCTCTGATCCATATAGTAGCACTGACTTCACATTGGAGTTGAAAATTCGGATCTTATTTTTGATGCTGAGTGCTGTTGACCTCCACACAGACTCGAGAGTAGTGAAAGCTTGTCTTGATCATGGTGAACGTAAGTGTATTTTCTAGTCCAACTCATTAGTGACCAAATGAACACAGCAGTCAGTAATCGAAATTTGCTTTCATTGATACAGTTTTTTTTTATTCCTTCACGTTCCCAGTGGAACATAGGGCTTCAAGCTAGAGGCTTGAAGATTCTGAAGCAGTGTTTATTTTACATGATGGGGTTGCTAGCCTCATGCCCAACCTTCCCTCTTTACCAGTCTTACTACTAGCTTAGCGAGGTAAAGGGAGTTCGTCGGCCGGGGATCGAACCCCGGACCATGTGCATGGTCGGCGAGCGTCCTAACCGCTATGCCACCGACGCACAGTGATACAGTTACTTCTGTTTATATTAATATATTACAATTAATATTATTCATTGAGTTTCCGAGTGCAGCAAAGGGCTTCAACAACACATCCCCATTTCATTCTATTCTCTGAACTCGTTTTTTTAACTCCCCAATTGCTCGTAAGTTTTCATCTCCTGGTCATACAGTCTCCTCAGTGTCACTGCTGAACCTATACTCAACTTGTCTTTTCCCACTCGGGTTCCACTGGAGGGCATGCACGTGTGTCCAATCCGTCTCTACTTTGTCCTGCAACAGACTCATGGTAGGTTGGTCATCAGGGTCCCTCGCTGCTAATCCTTTCTGGTCAGCCATCTGATCTTTAGTATGAAGCGAGGGCAGTTGGCGATGAAAGCCTGCGGTAGCCTGTTTGAAATACTTTTGGTGATGCGAACTTCATACCCTTGAACCATATAGTGACGCTTACTTGACACTTGTATTGAAACTGAGAAGCTTGTTCCTAATGCAGGGTGCAGAAGATTTCAACATTGACTTCAGATTAGTGAAGGTCCCCCCCATACTTTTCCAATCCTAGATTTGACATCCTTATCCTTTCAGCCTGTGGCTGAAATGATGCTGCCTAGGTAAGTGAAGGAGACGACTTCCTTTCGATATCCTCCGTTTATCTACCTACATACCAGTAACAGTAAATTCATATATCTGTCCATTTTTTGTATAATTCCAGATACTTTTATTCATCAGCAACTAAGCAATGTAAAGAATTCGACTATGTTCCTGAATGTCATCTTCGTGCACTTTTTGCCAATCATCCAATCAGTTTAACACGTAATGTCTTTAAAGATCGGAACAGTTGTGAACAATTATGTATACATAAAGACATTCAATCTGATACTGTTTGGAATCCAATTGTCAAAAGAGAAATAGATAATTATCTGTTCAGATGTGATCAACCATTGATGGTAGGCTCTTCGTGTTATTCAAATAAAAAGTCCTATCGTTGGTATTATGATCAACAGTTGAAAAGGTGTATATCATTTGAATATATGGGTTGTAATGGGAATGGCAATAATTTTAGAACAGAACATGAATGCAAAATGTAAGTAAAATTTACTTTTTGTTTTATTATCCTTAAACATGATTGAGAATTCAGGAAATTTGAATTACCTTCGATGTAGATAAAAATTTCAAAATGTTGACCACCAAGAAATTGAACAATCCTTACAGTATCCTGTTGATTTTTTGTGTCAGGTCTTTTATAAAAAAAGTCCACAAAAGTTTATTTACTTTTTATTTTTCGGACAGAGCAGTAGTGAGTAGAATTAAATCACATTATACATCCCACCACAGAGTAATTTTACTTATTCAAAAACATACTACTACCGTATTATTCACTGATGATGTTTTATTGCGTGTGTTTTATCAAATAAAATTATTCTGTGCTGCAAGTATACTCTACCGCAGTCTCCATATTCTGTTCTGTTCTTCTATCAAATTTTACATTTGTGACTCTAGTGGTAACGAAATGGAACATTAATCACTCACTTGAACCAATACATATCTACGTATAGACATAAATGCATGATGGTGTATGTTACTAATCAACTGAAATGAGCAGTTGGATACCGTTCACATCAACCAGTAGTACTTCTTTGCTATGTATAAGTGAGCAAAAAGGTCGTACGGTGTTGAAACCACTTTGATGTGAAAAGGTAGTACTACCGCTCCTATCAGATAATCAGTAGTATATACCATTTTGCATTTATGCATTATTTCTTTCCAAAGAAAACCACGGTAAAACTTCACCGTTCGTACTGCGTTAATTGCATATTGTTAATCAATTCGCAAACTGTGGATGTGATTTATGGCATGACCAGTTTGACCAGGAAAGTAGCCAGAAATCACGTGGTTTCAACTGATTCGCCTCTTTCAGCTGAGTCAAACCGGGTGTGTAGCTGATGAATTCGGTCCCAAACGAGTGGAACGGCTATTCGGTGTTTAGGTCACCTCTATCTTGCTGGCTAGCAAACACTGCTGGCTGATATTAATGTTATGCAACTACTCATCCCAGTCATTCAGTAGTATAAAGCTTTATACAGATTTCTTGATTTCCATTTTTACTATCGAGCTGATCATATATTTCGCCGTGAACAGTGTTAACTTTCAAAGGTAACTGTGATGACGTTTCACCTCGAAGTGTGTAACTTACAAGATTTAAGGTTACTAATGCCTTCTTTATTTACTGTTCACAAAACAGTATGAAGGCGGCATACTTTTTATTTCGATTCGTTTGAAGCACAGTTATTCGTCTAATTCAAGCAACAAAACACTATTCGATCAAGAGGAAATTATTCATATGACTTCAAGTAACCTACCCTGCAGTATGTGCCACATATTATGCACCTTTCTTATATCTCTTTGACAGTTTTCCATAACTGATGCAAGCGCTCACATTGTGAAGTAGATTTCATTTCAGCACATCGGAGCTGTATTCGTTCAATGTTTTGTGTAGTATTCACATGAAAGTATGCTTACCAGACTAAGGAGCGGCTGATAAGCTTGAGAAAGTTTAGAAGTATCTACACAACAATAAATACTTTGAGAAACTCTTGGACAATTTCAAAAAAGTGCCGAATCAGTTGGTATTATTTGACTAAAACTATATTTTGCTGTATTATTGTTCGTGGGAATGCTTATAGGGCCAATTAAAAATTAAACTACGGAATTAAAAAGATCAACGCAGTCCCTAATTTCGTAATTCTGTACAGAATGAATTCATGCGTGCCACAAATGACACAAATTGATCTGCTTTTAAAGACGTACGGAAATTTATCTATCACTTTATACTTACAAGTCATACTATATACAACGGAAGACAAAATGGAAAACTCCATGATCGTTTTTTGAGGGACGGCGTGAACCTAGGATTTAAAGATGCACGTATGTTAAGTAGTTCTATAGCTGGTCATCTAAAATTGACATTGTTTCTTCAAAGTCTGTGAGAATACTTAGTAGAAGATTTCTTAAGCATACGATTAGTAGAGAAAGGCTTAACCATAATCGACTACTCAGGAGTTAGTTTTTATCTTTATTGAGTATTCTTTCTCCAATGTTTCTCCTCTCCTAATCCACTCGTTATTTTACCTTACACATCTCATTATTTCCTCCAGTGATTTTTTTGTTAATCATGATGTACTGATATATAACTAGGAAAGTGTAGTCTTCATCTACTTTGCAGTTTATGCTTCAGGATCTTATTTCGTATCACATCTGCTATCTTATCCCTGTCGGACAATAAATAAAGCACCCAGTGAATTCAATCAGATTCTCCTAATAGTTTCATAGCTAGTATTTCCAACGCTTTAGGTTGTAAAGACGAAGAAGGATTTAATTTAAGAGTTTTTAATAATGATTTACTAGTACGCACCCACCGGGGGTCGAACAAAGGACCTTCTGGTTACAAAGCCAGCGAGCTCGTAGACCATTAATCCACTGGAACCTGATCCAATGACCCATGACTTCTAACTTCTACCAATTTATGACATAGCGCGACCATTTCGCAGTGTCTTCTTCGATGAGTTACTGCCTCACCTTCAAACTGCTGTAACCTACAGGTCCCGGCTTCCCACTAGAACCGAAAGTTAACTGCCTGAATAGGGCCAGTCACTAGTGAGCATCAGATCATTTTTCAAGTATTGGTTTCGTAGGGAATTTTGTTTGATAGGCTGGCGGATTTCATCATAAGCTGACTTCAGTAAGAGAACCATTGGAAAACCAGTTGGAAGTACTGGACAGCTGTTTCCTAACAGTTGGGGACTCTTCATCAGTATGCACCCCCGACCAAGCTTTTCCTCAAGTTCAGTAGGAACTTGTGAATCAGAAGCTTGTAAACATTTCAAAAATACACAAAAGTAGATAATACTATTAGAGGTTACATTTTAATCGATTAAAACAAACCGAACGAGAGAAAATATATGCAGTAGAGAGAGGGAAGTTTTTGGTGGCTCTATTTCTAAAACAACTTTCTTTCCTTATGTAGCTTAAACACACACGTACGAAATTTAAAATTAAGTTAGGATTAAAAATTACGACTGAAGAACAGTCTTTGTCTATGAGCTGCATAAATTCTTTGATAAAAATAAACATAGGCTTGTATTAAATGTATATTCACTTCTGTATTCACCAAGAGAATACTGTTGATTTATTGTGCTCAAGAAGCTCCATTTAACCAGACGGAATTTCAAAGAACGACTCATTTTTCTTTTCTGAATCACAATCACTTTAAAATAAAATGTTACACAACATCAAGCAGCCATTTTGCTGATAAGATTTAATTAAATTTAGACATCAGTCTGAGTTTTCACGGCAAGTGAAGAATGAAAAAAGTTAATTTAATTGAAAAGCGTTTTGTTTAAAAATCTCTAAACACGTGATTACTGAACAATGCCTGAAGCGATGAATCTTAGCTAAACAAAACTTACCCCACTAACAGAAGAGTTTAATATTGAGAAAGGTGATTTAACATTGAATGCCGCATTTTAGAATACAAATTATCTATGAAAAAGAAGTAGTGTTCAGTGTAAAGTCACTTATTTCAGGGAAGTTATCCTCAAGCTGTACAGTCACCTATATATGTATACATATATAATGGATTGTCATATCAACAGAAGACATGCATCATTAAAATTTTAGGTTTTAGATAACAATCTAGAGATTCTAAAGAAAACTGCGTAATACAGAAAAATAAATCAAGTACAGACTGAAAGGAAGTTAATTAAGATAATTGGAAATTAGGAAGAGTTTAATTAAAATTGAAAGTCAAGATGAGCTTAGTAAAATCTAAAGGTGTAACGGTAGTAAAAGCAAAAAAGACAAAACGAATTACTGCCCAAATTAGACTTATTATAGGTTCCGTGATACAAAAAATGTCGTCTAAATTCAAAGTTCAGGATTTAACATATCTGTTAACATAGCTTCTGTGTGGTTCGATGAAGTTTGATTCGTATTATTTTCATAAGATTCCCGCCTACTCCATAGGTAACTCTAAAATCGGTTTGCCAGTCCTTTTGGCATTCACAATTAATCATATGGTATTAGATGGTTGGAGGCAATCCGCAGGAAGCCTCAGACCTAGGATCCATGCTAGTTAGCACTCACCAGTCAGCAAGGCGCATCCGCAACCTCGGAGGAGCTCATGTCCCCTTTTGAGATTCAAACCCGCATCACCCAGTGCTGCAATCAGTGACATTACCATTGAGCCATTCGGGCTCACGATTGACCTCCTGTAGGACTGCATTGGATATTTTTGGTTGGACAATAGTCATTAAATAGTGTAAAGTGTGGGTGTCTAGTCCTATCTTTGGTGAATACTGAATCCTATCAGTAAGATTTGCAATGTGGTCACCATTCTAGGTGGCTCGCCATCACGATGCACTGTAAATTGTTGGTATTAGATGGTTGGATGCAGTCGCGAGCCCGAATAGCTCAGTGGTAACATTTCTGACTGCAGCACTCACTGGGTGATGCGATTTCGAATCTCAGAAGAGACATGAGTTCCTTCGAGGTCGCAGACACGCCTTGCTGACTGGTGAGTGCCAAATAGCACGAAACCTAGGTCCAAGTCTTCCTGCCTATTGCCTCCAACCAACTAATACCAGCAATTCACATTGCATCTTGATGGCAAGCCAACTAGCATGGTGGCCACATTGCAAACTTGACTGATAGAATTCAGTCTGCTCCAAAGATAGGAATAAACACATTACACTAGTTACTGACTAGTGTCCAATCAAAAATATTGATGATGTGTTCAAAAATACAGATGATGATAGGTTCTATATTCTTCTCTGTAAAAGAAAGAAGGCGAATGATCATAGCACACTTTGAGTACTGTTACCAAGCACGTAGATTTATAGACACGCATAAATAGTCTTTATTGATGAACTCAGTGATTATGTATTCAAACTTAGTTCAGCATATATTAAATAAGCAATTTGGTGCGAAGCTGATTTATAAAGTAAGATGCTGAGTAACTTACTACTTCTATGTTCATTGGTCGACTCCCAAAAATATTTTTCCTCCGTTCCTTCTGTTTGTTAATTA